CCTACTGCATTAAACAGTTGTGCTTCATGATGCAACCACTTTAATGGCATTATACTTTCTTTAACTTTATAAAGCAAATTTGATCTTCAATCCAACCACATGCAAAACCATGAAAACAAGACGGGAAAAGATCTTAACGTCAAACTCGTCTTCGATGCTTGATCGAACACTATCAAACAACGTGGTCAAATGCGCTCAAWACTCCATCCAACATGTTTGATGCTCAATCCAACAACATCGAAACGTGCTGGCCAAACAACTCTAGCTCCATCGTACATTATTGGTTGGACTGTTCAGCGAATACTTCGATGGACAATAAACGTTATCATCCGTCATGTTAGATGCTCCATTCAACAACATCCAACTAAAGCCGACTACCAAACAATATGGCTGGCTAAACAAACGTTTAGGCGTTGGGTTTGTACTGTGAAAAATATAGAGTAGACATTCATATACCCTGCGCACAAATTGTTTCCGTTTATTTCGTTAGAACTATTACCTACTAATAATGTGAATCAGTGCTGCCAAAGGCCTATACTCCGGAACCCAAAATCGCTGTAACATTGAGCGACTTTGTGCGATTTTGGCAAAAATTGTTATAAAAGCGCAGTAAATTTTTAAGCGAAATTTTGGGCGACTTTAGGCGATTTTGGGGCAATTTTGGGTCCCGGAGTACTTAGGCCTTTGGCAGCGACAAAATATTGAAGCAAGCCGTCAAATATMGTGATTGAAAATGATTTTTGCTGAAACCAAGTGAAAAAGCTTCAAAAGTCTTTTTCCAAGCAAAAGGATCAGTACAAATATTAACTGATTGTTACACAGGGATGTAGTTCAATAGTTTAGTCAAGTTATTATTATCATCATTATTACAATGTACATCAAATGCTCTCAAACAACTGAGCCGTTGCRCATAAAAGTTCACGTTTCCAAAAATCAGCCAAAAACTATATCATTAATTTGCAATCTATTGGCATTTCAATTCATTGGTACTTGTGAAGTTATTTGAGGGCAAGGCCGAGATTGGGGTGTTACTCTCGTGTACTCTGCTTKATAACAATTGATTGCTTGATTCCTGGGGAGGCATGCATGTTCCCCTTTCAGTTGGTCCACTTTCCTTTGTGTCATGTAAACAAAGCCCATCTCATGCAGGTTTTGAGAATGCAGTCACAGTGGGTGAGGATCTGCCAATGTTTTAACTGTCCATAAGAAGATGTGGAAGCACTCGAGAGCATAGTATGTAATGAATCTTTGTTAGTCTACATGTGCCCATCTCATGCAGGTTTTGAGAATGCTATCACACTGGGCGAGCATCTACCACTGTTTTAATTGTCCAAGTGGATGTAGGAGAATCCAAGAGCATAGAATGAATCCTTGATAAGAAATTTGAGTCGTCTCTAGCTTGATAATGAGATTTAATGCAGACGTTTCGACCGCAACTGCGATCTAGAATGAATCCTTGTTTTACTCTAAAGCCTGGTTTTCACCATGACATATAAACATACGCGTAGGTGAAGAATTAACAAAGAAATGAGAAAGGAATATGAAGTCAAGCACAGCGTAAGATCAACATTAAGTAACAATGCGCGTAAGAACTGTAGAACTCTCTATTGTTCTGCGGCATTGCAACTTCCCCACATACAAATGTCTTGGTTTTCACASTGATTATATATCAACCTATGGGTAACGCATTTTTGAAATAAAATGTGGATGAACTCTATTTTGAAACAAAGTTTCTTTTGTAGTAAAACCTCTTATCCAATCACAAGCACTCAAAACAATAGCCAAAAGAAGCTTCTAATTTGCTATGTTCCCCACATAGAATTGCCTTAATATTGTAGCTAAAGAAAGCTTTCATGAAGTCGGAATCAGATATTAAATAAAATATTAGAAAATGCGCTAACTTGTAAAATTATAGCAGATTTTCTTGTTTGAACCAATGGGATGGATGGATTATAYAATACACAATTAGCACCTTCTTGCATTCCTTTGCCGTTTGCTTCTATAGTTCCTACTCGGGCCATTAYTTAAGCATAAATGTAGCCGAAAGCATCAGGCATAAGACAAAAGAAAAGGCAACTCCCATTATTAAACTTTTAGTCAGATTTATGACTCAGAAGACGAATGAATATTTAGAGATTATCCGCTAGAGTGGAAATAGTAAACAAAGAAAAACTTTCGTAATTAAATGGTGTGCAATTGAACGGAATTATGCAAATTCCTTTGTTTTCTATTGTGAAATCATCACTATCAAGAATCGAGGGTTGGAGAGGAAACCTGAAATACCAGAGGAAAATATTATGGAATTAACGGATTAATAATGAAAAGAAAACATAATATTGGGAATACTCGGTTTTCTGAAAGGAAAAATATAAAATGTAAACAAAATTAAGTGTATGGAATGAAAATACTTTGTCATTGACAAAACCGGAATACAGAATACTCACTGCACAAAATATTCCACTTCATCCTCCGACGTTTAAGTCAGAAACTAGTAAATATCTGTTTCACGGATTTGGYGCGCCCACTCCACTGTTTCACGCTTTTAGTGTTTCTCTATAGTTGATGTAATATAGCTCTTATTTTTGGATAAGAATTATATGCCAAATATTTTATAAGGGTTTTTTTTCACTCTGACATATGATATGGACGACTCACTGGTATATTGTGGCGGCCGACGCAATTGTTTGTCATGAAAACAGGATGCCACTTTATTGTCATAATAGTTAAAAGCTATTTTTGCACAATTTATAGACAAAAAAAGTTGTATTTTCCAAAAAGTAACCAAAACCATTAACAGAAAGTTGTATGTAAACATTGATATTTTTACTTTGGGAGGAGTGTAAAAAAGTAGTTTATTTTGMAGGTCAGAAGGTGACAAGTCCAGCACGTCTTCGCACTATACGACCACCATCTTGAATAGACCTTATTACCAAATACGACCACCATCTTGAAAAGACCTTATTACCAATACGACCACCATCTTGAATAGACCTTATTACCAATACGACCACCATCTTGAATAGACACCTTATTCCCAATACGACCACCATCTTGAAAAGACCTTATTACCAACACGACCACCATCTTGAATAGACCTTATTACCAAAAATACGACCGCCATCTTGAATAGACCTTATTACCAATACGACCGCCATCTTGAATAGACCTTATTACCAATACGACCGCCATCTTGAATAGACTTTATTACCAATACGACCACCATCTTGAATAGACCTTATTACCAATACGACCGCCATCTTGAATAGACCTTATTACCAATACGACCGCCATCTTGAATAGACCTTATTACCAATACGACCGCCATCTTGAATAGACCTTATTACCAATACGACCGCCATCTTGAATAGACCTTATTACCAATACGACCGCCATCTTGAATAGACCTTATTACCAATACGACCGCCATCTTGAATAGACCTTATTACCAATACGACCGCCATCTTGAATAGACCTTATTACCAATACGACCGCCATCTTGAATAGACCTTATTACCAATACGACCGCCATCTTGAATAGACCTTATTACCAATACGACCGCCATCTTGAATAGACCTTATTACCAATACGACCGCCATCTTGAATAGACCTTATTACCAATACGACCGCCATCTTGAATAGACCTTATTACCAAT